AAAGATGAAAGAGATCACATCATCAAACCATCATCACCACCATCATAGGCAAAGAACACAAACCAAGGCAAGCCAAATCACTACTAGCAAGGAAAACTAAGCAAGAAATCCATCCAAGAACACAAGGACGAGAAGGAGAAGGAGAAGAAGAAGAAGATCGGGGTTTTGAATCGGCCCACCTGTGATTCCGTGTAGTTGGCCGACTCCTTTTGCTCCACCGTGATTGGAAGCTTGTCACCCACAATCTGGAGCAAGATCACGGTCTGGGTTCCCGACTGATCCGCGTAGGCGCACGAGACGTTGAGCATCGGCGATGGCGGCAGCGAGCAAAACGACGTGTTGGCGCTCCACCCGCCCAGCGCCGATGGATCCCCCAGGAGCTTCTGGAGGCGCAGCAGGCTCTGGGTCTGGGATCCTGGCAATGCCGCTCGCCCAAGAACCGCCCAGAGGACGAGGAGCTCAATCACTGCCGCGACGAGCATTGTAGGCGCCCGCCGCGCTCGATGGCGGCGATCCAGGCTACGAGATCTCGGCGTCATCGCCGCCCCCATCGCGAGCCCAGGGATCGCGACTCCGCTGTGGAGGAGCCATGATTCCTCTTCTCAGCCCATCTCCATTTTTCCCCTGTTCTATCAATCCCGCATCCCCTGCTGCTCGATCGGATCCATTTCCTACCTGCGCCGCCCAATCGCGCTCGAGGGTTCATCGATCCGGCGGCGCTGCGATGTGGGTCGCGCCCGGATTGCGCGTCGCCCGCGACCCACTTGGAGGAATCGCTCACTCTCTTCTTGTCCTCCTCTCCCTGTCTATAAAGCGACGAGGAGAGGTGCCGAGCAACACTGGCTTGGAATCGATATGCCAACAAACAAACAATGCTGCTGCACGGGCGAGGCTTTGACAATGACACTGAGCAAGAAATCGAGGAGCAAAAAAGCTCCGCTCCCTCGACCGAAAAATGGGCAAATGGAGAGATTTTCCCCCTTTCCCCAGGGGTAACAAAAATCTTCTCTTCCGTGTGAGAAGAAGGATCCAGGCAAAAACCCGGCACGCACGTCGGTAAGTGGAATTATTTTACCGCGCGTTAACATCTCTTGTTCTTGTGGCTTGTCATACCGTACAAGGCCTTTTCGATTTGAAAGGATCCTTTGTTCCGTAGCGGCGTGATTTTTTTTTTTCTTTCTTTCGCTTAATCAGCTCGCCGGTGGCCAATCTTGACCTTTGGAATATTTGGTACAAAGTTTGGCAAGCTGTCTGTGAGCGTCGGTGACGAACATAGACAAAATTGTCAATAGCGGACGCCCTGCCTTAATCGGCCAACTCATGGCTGGCTATGAACCAGAGCAACTAACGTAGGTATAAGACCTCAGGAACAGAAGCTGCCTTTCCCTTGGCCAAGCTGGTACAAACCCCTTT